GCGGACGGCGACGGACGGGCGACGACGGCGGTGAATAAACCTCGCGGGCCCTGCGGGCCCGTGACGGCGGCTTCATGGTGAAGGGTTATACCAGAACCACTCTGTTTACTTAAAAGTTGATCGCGATACGCGCTGTTCATCAAGAGCGCACTAGGCGCGTTGACTTTCTTCAGAGCGTTGACAAATTGCAGCCAGCCCACGGCTTGCGCGCTCTTTCGAGTGCGTGCGGCGTCAGAGACGAGATCCACAATATTGGCTTGATCGAGCTTCACTCCGTCTATCTTGACGGTGCCTTGCGCGTCCCAACCGATGAGAGAGCGGACGCGTGGTGACTCGAGGAAGTCGAAAAGCGCACTGGCTGCGCCTCGCTGTCTTGCAGGGACTATAGCGGCCACTTGTCTACGCAGTTCAGTCGAGTCACCCGTGTCGTCATTCTGCTGTTGCGCTCCACCTGCTTCTGCTTCTCCGATAACTTGGAGGGGTCTTTTCTGATCCTTGACAAAGTGCATGTACCGTTGTAACGCCTGGTCGTACAATTGCCATTTCTCTTCCGCTTCGGCATCTTTTCGAGCTAAAATGCTTTCGATATCGGCATCGAGATCGGAAATGACGTCACCCGAGGTGCGACCGACGGGTTTCTCGTGGAGCCGAGCGGCGCTTTCGGCCGGGAGCAACACGAGTTTTTTACAGTGTTGAAGCGTCATTTCACTATTTTCCAAAGATGAGATTTCCGAGCATGGGGCCCAACACGCTCAGCAAAATGGGTAGAAAGGCTCCACCGCCCGTCTGTACTATTTTCTTCTTGTCCTGCCAATGCTGGCCACGCGTCGCCAATTTCCGTAGGGTATTTTTATATTTTGCTAGTCTTTGTTTATCTGAGGGCGATACGGGGACACGCCCGGACAGAAAGTTGAGCGCGATTTCACAGATGGAGTAAATCAAGGGCTTGTCGGCGTGCTCGAGGAGGAGGCGTCGCGTCTTTGGATTCGCGGTGCTGAGCAGACGCAGGATATCCTTATGACAGCTGTTCCTTTTCTTGCGGGGCGCAGGAGACATCTCGAGGACACTACCGAGCAGGGCGGCGGCGCGCGACCATCTGAATACTCATCGGTGAACTAATTCACTTTTATACTTGTTCTTGGGCACGTACACGACGGTCGTCTCGCCCGGCAGGATCTTTGTCCTCAACCTCAAATGTTCCTTTTGGCGGACGTGGAAATCAAACAGCAGGTACGAGTGCCCGTCCTGCGTACTGTCTCGGTAAGCCTCCAGTAGCGCGCGAAAGTTGACGGGGTCGATTTGGAGTACAAAAGATCGCACCTGATTCAGATTCAGATTATTGTTCAAACCAAAGTAAGGCATAAAATACACAACAATAAAAGTTCAAAAAAACCTGTGCGAGGTCGCGAGCCGTCTTCATGAGGATACAGTAATGCGCTTGCAAACTGATCTCTCTCATGTTTTTTGGGAAAATGCATTGCGACAACAACCAGAAACTCAAGTTCCGATGATGCGATCCTTTGATGGCGAATTGTAAAAACTCGGGGTTCTTCAGACTATCCATAAAATCGTCACATATCAGAAGTTTCGCTCCTTCGTTTGGCGGAAATTGATCTAAAGTGGGGATGCCCTCTACGAATCGGACTCTGGAATCGCTCTCTGCGAGTTCCTGGTAACATTTCTGCCATTCCATGTAATGCCACACGACTTCGACAAATTTCGTGTCAAACATTTGGTCTCTGTTTTTCACGATTTTAATCATGAGGGTCGTTTTCCCCGCCCCCGACCCCCCGACCAAGAGCGAGTTTGCAGGATGAACGAAACGTGTATCCATCTCGTCTGACTGTTTGCGAACGAGTGACGCTTGACTGTGGTGTAATCGCCATTTATTTAGTTTCTTTGACGTCCACAAAGGTTACGGACGCCCACTCGTCTGCTGCAACACCGTGTTTCGTCTGCTATCGTTTTGCATCGCGCTTTGCGAGAGCGTCGCCAGGTGGCAGCACTCTGCAGACCCGAGTATGAGAAAGTGGTAAATGGGCAGAGAGGAAATATTCTCATTATTGACAATCGATTTATTTTCCAAAAACTTCATACAAGGCGGTGTGAAAGTCGATGTGTTGACTTCTCGAAGGAGAATGGGGCAGTGCGGCTTTGGCCGTACTCACACCTCCTGTCTGGCTGTCTGGCCGCTCGACCATACCGGTCGGCAAACTCATCTCGGGGCTCCATGGGATTTCTTAGGTACACCTCATCAATAAATGCGGTGCTTCACCATGAGGACCTCCATGGCCTGTGTGAATGAAGGAGTTTTGCAGGGGACTACTGATATCCTCACTGACTTTTTTCCTGGCTGACCGGCTGTCCAGCCACTTGATCATATCGGTCAAGACGACCCCCCCCCTCCCCCGTCTCCCCCAAAACCATCCCAAACGTGCATCTCGGACAAGGCGCTGACTGGCTTCAAGGACGGAAGACAACATGTGTTCAAAGGTATTTATTTACATTATATGATACAATCTTTACACATCTGAGAGCCCGTGAAGGATGTCAATGGTCTCGTAGTCTTCGGCGTCAAACAGAGTACCCGAAAACCCATAAGGAACAGTCATGTTGTTTTCTAACCGTTTCCTCTTGTTCAGACATACGCGCCACGTTTTGTGGCCGGGTCTAGTTATTATTTTCCAATTCTTTCTGTCAATCATGGATGGGATGTGTATGGTGGTGCTCTCAGTTTCACCTCTCACCATTTCTTTTAATTTGTCAAAGGTTACAAGCTGGCTACAAGAATTATTTATGCTGACGCCGCGCACTTTGACAATGCTCTTGATCGTGTCTTTATTTCCTTTTACACAGACCTGGTAAGAATAGTTCTTACACCCCCCGCTTACAAAGGAGATTCCATATGAGCCTTTTCCATGGTCGTCTTCCAATTGGTCGCTGAGACAGCCAAGATACTCTCCCAGCTTTGGCTCAGGGTAGCCCGGCTTGGAAATGAAACAGATAGAGTCTGGAAAACAACAGTACCAAAAGTAAGGTTAGTAAGTGTTTACTTTTTTAAAATTGCCATAAGACAATGTTGTTTCACTCACGACGTGTCATTTTTTTCTTTTATTTCAGTTCTCACCTGTGTCATGGTACAGAGCCCGCTCGCCAACTACCTTCAAATAGTTGTAGAGAACGATTCGACCATGGCAAGTGGTGAATGCAGCATTGACGAGACTTGTTGTTGGGAGAGAGTCTTCCAAATCCTCATGGGGAGTGTAGACAACTTGAAGTAAATCGTCATCCAACGGCAGAACTGATGAGATCTTAATTGTGGAATCCTCGGTGAGTCGTGCAAGCTCAGCATAGTTCTTGACAAACTCGGTCTTTGTTCGGAGAGTTCTCTCTCCCAGTTTTCCCCCTGTGATAAGACAAAAAAAAAAAATCAAAATTAACATCATCATTTAAACAAGTGTCATGTCGATAGTTCTTATACTATGAAATGTATACTTACAAAAGGAATTTAAAATCAATTTGGCAAGATACCTTTTGCCAGGGTTGCGTTGGAATTTTGTTTTATCCAACACAATACCATCCTTTTCAAAATGTTTTTTGATGAAGGCATCTTTCTCTTCTTCAGTCGTCACATTGCTCGGCCAACCACTAGCTTCAATTTTCATGGCCATGTTTTGTCGGACATAGGAGGAAAACATTCCATCTTGACCTGTTTTGGGATCATATTGTTTCACAGAGTCATATTGATAACATTCATGTATTTTCCTAATAACATATTTTTCTTTTACAGCTAATTGCAGTTCAGGGGCACACCAAGTGCCTACAATTTCTCTCTCCTCATCAGAATGATGGCAATCTGTCTTACTCATATTTTCAGCACAAGTTCTACAGAGTGGAAACATTAATTTATTACAACATTTATAAGGTAACACAGGTAAAAATAAGTCCTTGGGTGGCAACACAGTAGCCAAAATAACACCGTTCATTTTATCTATTTCAGGCATGTCCACATCGCCTTCAAGATAAATAGTGGGGTGACCCACTGGGTAAGCCATACGAAACATACAAAAGGGATATTCCGATACCACGTCGAAAAATTTCAACTTTTCGCCGAGTTTCAAGTTTGCCACATATTCAGTGTAAAGCGCTGATGTCCTTCCTCCACAAATAGCGTCACGTAAGTTCAGAGGTTTCATTCTTTTGAAAGGATTGTTTGCGAAATAATTTTTTACTTCCTCATTGTTTTCTAAATCATGTTTGAACTCACAACCCCACTTTTCAATGACAACATAACCATGATCTCTTAATTTTTTTGTAATATGTTTTGTCCTTTCATAGGGATCTTCCTGTGACCTACCTCTGATTTTCTGGCGTGACGCCTCATCTGGTATACATTTTTTGCAAAGGTGGAAATAGCAGCCGTGATATTGGTAGACTCTTTTCTCAACTCTGCCATTAGGTAAATCTATTTCTACATAACCATCGACTTTATATTTTAATACAAATTTTTCACGACCATTCTCTGCTGTCATTATTTTTTTACCCAACTTGTGCATTTCATAATCCAGCCAACACAGGGCCTCATGACTTGCCTTGTCTCTGCCTCTGTATCCGCCCCAAGGGACGATACCAATTAGAGAATTACCCAAGTGATTTTTTCTAAAATTACACATGCATGCTGAAGAGAGAGTGGTGCAATGTTTGAGAGGGTCAAAGTGAGCAGTCTCCATAAATAGTGTCCTGAACTTCTCCATTGCTTGTAACAGAATAGATACATCGGATACTATATATTTTAATATTTCAGTTCTAAAATTAAACTCATAATTATTTCTAACTTGCTCATCATACCAATCGTTGAACTCTTTTAAATCATGATCACTAAGATGAGAAGTGCTGTACAATTCTTTACTAGGCATTGGTCCAACATAATCAAAATATTTTTCTTCTATCATGTAAAAGGGAAAGTCTCCCTTGCACAGATCAGTGAGGCCGAAACTTTTAGGTAGTGACTTGAGTCGTTGTTGAAGGAAACACAAGGAGTCCTTGAACACTAAATTGCCAACTGTTAGTTTTAATATTTTTGCACCATTGAGAACAACTTTTGGTGGCGTTTTCCGCCTTTTCAACTCTTGAAAAATAAGAATGCCATCAAATGAGCGAAAATTGTGACAGAATATAGTGATTTCTCTGTGCCTCTCGCTACAGAGCTTCTGTAAAAAATCAAAAAAGTCTGACACTACATTGGAGTTTGCCTCAAAACCTTCAAAAACATTTTGCCTTACACCACAAGAATCACAATTTTTTGTCATGTCAGTATCTTTTTCACAGTCATCACACACATGCTGGGAGACTAAGAGACGAGCTTTGTGCTCTTTCCATCCCTCTTTGCCTTCCACATCAAAGGACTGATCGGTTTCAATGTCAAAATAGAGACGGATCTGTTGGGCGCCTTTAGTCAGAGGTTTTTCTTCCCAGGGAGTCATGTAGCATTTGTGGTCAGCAGGCATGTTTTCACCACAATAATTACAAATTCTATAACCACATATATGTTTTTTCATTTTATGAGTAATGTGGTAAGACCGTTCACAAATTGCACAAAATTTTTTGACTTGACATATACTCTTACCATTTGAACCAGGCATGCGATGAGTATCGAAACATTTTTGTCCCGCAAAGCACAATCCACATCCGAAACACTTCATAAGACCTAAAGTCTTCTCATGATACTCTTCGCCATGACACCTATCACAGGAAAGTTTGCATTTATGATGGTTTGTGTCTTTATAACATGTTAAACAAGTGTCACAAAAATAACTTGTTCCTAAAACAGCAGTTATGGAGCTCACAGCATAATAATGAGCATTATTTAAAAATATATACAAATGAAACGGTTTCTTATCTCCGTTCACATCCTTAGTGTCACCACAAAAATAAAATTCTTTACAATTCTGGTCAAGAAACACAACAAGACGATGAGATGGCAAAACGGCTTGAAACTTACATATCTCATCATAGCCACAAGGCTCATTCATTTTTACACCAGCATCTTGACAAAGTTTTGTTGCAAATTCTCTTATCTCTCCATTATCAGGATGTCTTATCCTGAAGGCTCGGCTTTTGTTTGCAGTTTTAAACTTTTGCAAGTAAACAATACACCGTGCCAAACACATGGAATCATTTGTATTGCTAGGGTCGAACAATTTCTGATGTTTGATGTGTCTCTCCATCCAGGCTTCAAGAGATTCAAAGGGTCTCTTTACCCTTCTCCCCCCTTTGCAAGTTGGAATATGAATAAAGTTGAGCTTAAAGTACCCTCCCAAAAAATGTTCATTGCTGTTTAAAGTGCGAGTCAGCTTTTGTAAAACTACTTCTCCATTAATTTGACTCACAGGTCGCAAATGAAACCAAAGTGATTTGTTGTCATCTGAACCACACAGTTCTAATATACATTTGTCATCGGGTTTTGCTTTCACTTCAGTAATCTGTCTCTGTATCAACTTATCAATCAATGAGGCCATACTCAATTTATTGTTTAATAGTTTTTTCTGCAGATTGTCCACTTTGAATGTCTCTTGGCGAAAATTTGAATTGAAACGTTTCAGGTACTTTTGTTTCGATTCCAGCAATTGTATAGTCGGTTCACTGTCATCACTGTCACTGCGAGCGTCGTCGTCTTCCTCCTCTTCCCCAGCACTGTCTTCTTGCTCTCGCTTCCTCTTCCGCGATGGCGTGGTTGGGTCAGGCCTACTAGAACACCCCGGCGGAGGTGTACCACCTCGCCTTATGCCACGGCTCGGAGCAGCGGCGGCGTCAGCGGCGGCGGCGGCGGCCGGGCTCGCGGCCGGGCTCGCGGCCCGGCCCGGTGGTGGGGTCGCGTCGCGGCGCTTCGGCGCGGGCGCGGGCGCGGCGGGGTCCGGCCCTCTCGCGGGCGCGGGCTGCCTCGGCGGCGCTCGCTTACCCCCTCCGACCTGCGGTCGCGGCGCCGCGGCGGCGGCGGGGAAGTCGGCGCGTCGCGGTAGCGCTGGCGGCGCTGGCGGTGCTGGTGGTGCAGGTGGTGCAGCTGCAGGCGGTGCAGCTGCAGGTGCTGTCGGTGGAGCGGCCCCTCTCCAGGCCTCCATCACCCTATTTTTAGCAGCCATGTACAGTATGTGGATGGAGGGGTCAGCTTCTTGACGAAATATGAGCTGGTTGAGATACGCTCGGTATCCTTGCTCTAAAATATCGAGCAGTTCAGGATCATGAGGCACTTCGCACCACGAAGCACAAATGATATGAATCAACTCTAAAAAAGCACTGCTCTTGAATTGTTCTGGAAGATACATCCCATTTCGCCAGTTTTCAAGCACCTCGCCGAGAGTCATAGGAGCTCCCGCCATGGTGCGTCTGGGTAGGCAAACGGTTCAACACGCACTGCGTCGCGCAACCCATGGACCATACGCCCTTTTCTCAACTTGATGCAAGAGCGAGAGAAGGGGGGGGGGGGCCGACTCGGGTGCACCCCGTCGTGACTCCTGAGCAAAGAGAAGGGG